AAAACGCCCCACTGCGCGAGTACTTGAGGCGCCAGATGAAGGTGGGCAGTGCCGTGCCGCCTGCCGTCAGCGGCGGCTTCGTCGTGTAGACGCCATCGGCAAAGTAAATCAGGTGGGGCGGGGAAAAGTGCGGCGGATATTGGAGCTGAATTTGCTGCTGAGGAGGTGGTGGAGGCAATGGAAGCGGCGGAGGGAGGCCGTCAATCATCGGAGAAGAGGGCGAGGTGAGGTTTCCTACTCCATTACAGGAGGAGTTCTGGGGGGATGAAGACTCGGAGGGAAAGACAGTCCGGTGGTGAGTGTCATCCCAGGTGTCGTGAAAAACAATCTGCGATTGGGTTTGGGTGGCGGTTGATGATGAGTGCGAAGCATTTGAGGAGGGCGAGATCTGCGGCGGACTGTTCACTATCACGTTGGATCCATTGTTTCCAGCGGCGAGCATTTGAGAGACGACCGAGTTTCCTACCGCTCCCGCTCCTCCAGCGGCGGAGGCGCCGCCCCTAACGGGCATCAGATTAAGCGCTAGAAACTGGTGCAGGTGCTGGGCACGACTGAGCACCGCCGAACTCGAGGCCGATGGAACCTGGTAGTGGACCGCCTCCTGGGGCTGGTAGTTCGGAGGCTGGGGGACGCCGGCAACGCCCGCCGCCACCGCATTCTGCAGGTGGTTGAGGATCTGGGCGCGAATGGCTGAGACAGAGGCTACCGAGTTATCTGAGCCTGAACCACCAGAGCTTCCTGACGCCCGTTGGCCGTAGAAGCGAGAGGCGGCGACGATGATGTTCGATCCAGGAGGTCCGGAGGCTCCCGAGCCCGAGGCGTTTCCATTGCCCAGCGAGCGCACACGAATGCTGTTCTCATGCGCAAAGATGACCGCCCCGCCGCTCAGGTCATGGCGGCGGCTGTGGTCTCTGATGGCGGCAATGGGCGGCGGCGGCAGTGGTGGCGGATTCTGTTGCTGCTGCTGCTGAGGATGAGGAAGTCGAGGATCGTTGAGGCTAGGGTCGGCGACCAGAGGAATGACCACCGCTCCTTCTCCTTCAGGACCAGGAGGACCGGGAGGAGGGGGAAGAGGATTAGGATTTACATCCTGCTCCATCAGCGAAGGTCCTGGGCCGCCGCCTCCGCTGCTGCTTCGTCGCACAAAGTGCGGCATGAGGAGATTGTTTCCAGGCGGTAAGCCACCACCCCCGCCGCCGCTTCCTCCAGCAACTGAAGCGCTTCGAGGTAGTCCTCCTGCTCCTGCTCCAGCACCGCCGCTGCCACTGGGCGCCACCATCTGCAGCGGCGCCCCGTAGAACTCTCCGGCGCCGCCCTGGCCGTTCAGCTGCACCGGCAGCGGCCCAATCGGTCCCACCATTCCGACGTCCTCCACAGTGAAGGGAATGGGCTGTCCGGCCGAGGTGGTCATCACCGTCGGGCCAGGGGAAAGAACAGATCCGTAGCCGTTCCCGTTGACGCCGTTGGGCGTCGGTGCGTAGCTGCTAATGAGCGTTCCGCCGGCGAGAATCGCCGAGGTGAAGCCCTCGGCGGCGGCCGAGCCAAAGGGCTCCGGCGTGGCGACCACCGAGTTGGCGCACTGGCCAAAGTCAAAGGCGTGCAGGACGGTGCCGTCGACGGCGCAGATCTTGGTGACGCCGGCGCTGCTCAGCGTCATGATGCTGGAGGCGGCCGCGGAGGACTGGCCAATGCTGGGCGAGGCGCCATTTGNCCATTTGAGGAAAGTGAAGAGGACTTGGCAAAGGGCCAACTTCCATCGAGGTACTGAATGTCGCGAATGGTGTCGCAGTGAAACTGGAAAGAAGGTAAAAATGAACGTTAGATCTTCTGTTTTCATTTCTATTTCTATTTCAACTCAGCCTTGAGAACTCTTCACCAAAGTTCAAGATAAAGTGGAAATAGAAATATAACCCAAGGAACCAGAGCCAAACAAAACANCCATTTGAGGAAAGTGAAGAGGACTTGGCAAAGGGCCAACTTCCATCGAGGTACTGAATGTCGCGAATGGTGTCGCAGTGAAACTGGAAAGAAGGTAAAAATGAACGTTAGATCTTCTGTTTTCATTTCTATTTCTATTTCAACTCAGCGTTGAGAACTCTCCACAAAAGTTTAAGATAAAGTGGAAATAGAAATAGAACTCAAGGAACCAGAGCCAACTAGAACTCCCGAATCACTTACATCAAAGAAAAAGTTGAGCGGCAGCGGCATCCGCAGATCAAACATCGTCAGCCCCTTCCCGTTGACGTAGGCGCACACGGCCATGTGCGGCGAGGCGGGGTCGACGGCCAGGGCGGCTCGGTCCCTCCCATTGTAGGCGCAGTTCTCATAGGAGCTGACCAGGTGGCCGCGCTCCACATCGAGGACCGAGAGACGGCGCGTGGTGGTCACGGCCAGGATCTAGAATAGAAGAGGATAATTAGAATGATTGATCTGACAAGGGTTAATCGTTCACGTACCTTGCGTCCATCACAGGTGTAGCGGAGGGCGTAGACGTGGCGACTCATGCCCGAGCTGATCACCGGGAACATGTTCAGCAGCTCCGCCCGACCTGCATGGTACAGGCAGATATTGCCGTCGTTGCCGCCCGAGGCAAAGAGAAAGCGGTCCTTGGGGCTGAAGGCCACGGCGCGCACTGTAGCCGCGTGCGCGGTGAAGAAGCGAGGCGTGCCGATGCTTTCCATTGTTTACGGCTGTAGATTTGATTTGGTCGAGAAGTAGAAGGTAGAAGGTAGAATTTATTGTTGCTGACTGAAAGAGGAGAAAGAGAAGTAGAAATTGTTGAGATCGGCGATGAGATTTGAAGAATGATGATGATCGACGGCAGTGAAAGTGAGGAAGTGAAAAGGTGGTGGCCTTAGAGGCGACTTTAATTATTTGATAAGATTCTAAATGTAGAACTCTTTATTCTGTGCGTTTTTGCAAGAAAGGCGAGCAAGTTTTTGAGGGGACTTAGATGGATAGCAAGATAAGACAAGAAGAACTTTGTACTTTAGGTATTGCACCGATGAACCGGGGTAAGTGGGTCGCTTCTCTCGTCTCTTTATCTGCTCGAGAATCTGCAATAGAGAGATAAGTGAGAATGTCAGAGCAAATAGAACAAAAGCCGAAAATAGAACACCAAACAAAAAAGCTTACCTGAACTTTTCCACTTTGTCGTTGGCCAACTCTCTCAAAGACGAAATTGCACACTGCCCAAAGGGAGTGGAGGTGGGGGAAATTGCACAGTTGGGAAGAGAAGGGGAGATCTTCCAAAGGGATTCACTTTCCTAAAAGCATCCTTCTCAAGGCTCAGATGGATTCAGGAGAGGATGGAGAAAGCTTTGAGGAAAGTGTGCGGAGAAAGTATCACAGCTGCTGCTGCGGCTGCAGTGAGAGCGGGATGCTCGAGGATGCGGTGCTGTTTTCCCACTCACTCTGCTGACTGTGAGTGAGTGAGCGAGCGAGTGTAAACAGTGGAGGAGGAAGAGAAGGAGGAAGGATTCAAGGATGAGAAATCACCTCAGATCACCTCCTTGAAGTAGAATCCAAGACGTTGATGGTGAGGTAGGTCTCAGAGCTGATGATGGCGGTGATGGTGGTGATGGAATCGCCAGTTGGAACCAAAACGAGCAGCCAAAGCACAACAGTAGCCTCGGCCTATCTCTCTGCAGAGCTGCGTTGCTCACTCACTCACAGCCCAGAGCCAACACAGACAGACACTCGGAGTTGGAGTGCTCGTCTGCAGCAGACGATATAGCAGCAGAAATTCTAGCGAAACGTTGAGGGACGCCAGAATTCAGGGCCAAAGTTGGTGAACACCAAACAGAGGCAAATAGAACGCAGGAGACACTGTCAGAGTTGGCTTGGCTTGGAGTTGGTGTGTTGGTGGTAGTGTTGGCTTGGCAGGCGACGCAAAGTTCTCTCAAGTTGCTCAGAAAGCGAGCGATCGAGCAAACGAGCAAACGAGGGATCCCTCTCTCAATGTTCTCTTCTCCTCTTCCTCCACACTCTCCTTCTGCTGCTTCTACTTCGTCTTCAGCAAACGAGACGACGATGACTCGCCCGTGAGTGTGGTAAAAAGCAGGAGATGAGGAAGAGAACGGCGACGGCGGCCACGGCAGACCACTGTGTTTTGATGGCAAAGTGTTGGCAAGCAAAAAGAAGAGAAAATGAGCTTCTACTTTCGGAAGAGGACAGGGACAGGTCGTCGCCGGTGGACTTGTGGTGGTGGCCGAAACCGAAAAGCCTAAAAAATCCTTTCAAGCTGTTGATATTGTCTTGAAAACAGAGGTGATAAGCTGTTGATAAGGAACTCTTGATCATTTGATAATGGTCAATGCTGTGTGCTCAAAGCTGATTAAGAAAGAAGAAAAAGATAAGAGAAGAGACAAGCGCTCTAACCAAAGTCTACGAATTGCCCCTTCGGCGGGCTGTCCGGTACTCAATGTTTACATCCTTTCCCGCTACTTGGGCGCCACCGTTGCCGCCGCTGTTGCGTCATCGCGAATAAAAGAAAGATGAGGCGACGGCGACGGCGCTAAGCATCAACTGCTTAGCATCGGCTCCTATCGTTACAACAACAGCAGCTGAAGCTGAAGCTAAACAAGCCTCGAGGGTTATAAAAGAAGAGAAGATAGGCGGCAGACGAGAGCTGGCAAAGTGACCAAAAAACAGAAGAGACATCCCTTATCAAAGACCGCTTCATCCTCTTCAGCGTACACATTCCTTCTGCAATGTCTTCCCCATCTTCTTCTGCATCAACACAACCTCCTGAAGACCAACAGATGGACCACCAGAAATCGTCTGCCAATGATCATCTCCCTCCTCCCCTCGAGGTCTTCGAGGTTCCCATCTCCATGTCAGGCTCTTCGGCCTCCTCCACCACCTCGACTCAGCCTCCTCGAGACCACGAGATGCCCTCACCACCGCCTCCTCAGGCTCCACCTGCTCCTTCTTCGCCGGCCCTTGCCACGGTGGCCAGCTGCGCCTACGACGACGTCATCTACGTCGGCCCGAAGACGATGCCCATCTGCCACCTGAACGAGCTCCTCGAGTGGACTGAACCACAGGCGCCGGAGGGCGTCGACGGTTCGGTGGCCGACGACGAGAAGCACTGCTATCTCATTCCCAAACGAATCAAGCGTACTGTGGACGTCGCAGAGACCACCGATCCGCTGACGCTGGTCTGCCACGACATGAAGGGCGGCTACATTGATGACCAGTAAGTTTTGGCGGTGTTTGGAGTTCTATTTCTATTTCCACCTAGGCACAACTTCCTAATCGAATCTTCCTCTTCCACCACCGCAGCATCAACAACGGTCACAACAACGCCCTTGCCTACCGCTTCACCCACTGGTCACTGGTGGACATCTTCATCTACTTCAGCCACCACATGGTCACCATTCCCCCGATCGCCTGGACCACCGTCGCCCACCGCAACGGCGTCCGCTGCTTCGGCACCTTCATCATCGAGGAGCCGCCGGAGACGGAGGTAGATGAGGGCCGCTTCCTGCGCGAGTACTACATGGGCATGGTCAACAAGACGCTCGCCGATGTGGAGACCGTGGAGAAGGTCACCTCCATTCTCGCCCGCATCGCCGCCTTCTACCGCTTTGACGGCTGGCTGGTGAACATCGAGGCGCCGATGGCCAAGGAGAAGATTCCCTTGATGGAGCTCTTTCTGCGGTCGCTTCGCGCGAAGACCAAGGCGATTCTGGGCTTGCCGGAACGGGACATTGCCGTCATTTGGTGAGCTATTGTTTTTGGGGTGTTCTATTTCTGTTTCTCCTAACCCTTTCTTTTTAATATTTTCCTTTAGGTACGACGCCGTCACCTCAGACGACGGCTCTCTGGCCTGGCAAAATGAGCTCAACTTTCGCAACCAGGAGTTCTTCGCCGCGTCGGACGCCATCTTCCTCAACTACTGCTGGACGGAGGAGCACCTGGACCGGTGCTGGGCGCATCTGCACGGCCGCTACGGCCACCGCGCCGGCCGCCGCCTGCACAACCGCGTCTTTGTCGGCATCGACGTCTTTGGCCGTGGCTGCTTCGGTGGCGGCGGCTTCTTCAGCAACATTGCCCTGCGCGAAGCACGCCAGCGTGCTTTCAGCGCCGCCATCTTCGCCCCCGGCTGGACCTGGGAAATTCTGGGGCCGGACAACTTCACCGCCAATGACAACCGCCTCTGGGACCGCCTTTCCCGCTACATTCGCGAGCGCCTCTTTGACCGCCTGCCGATTTGCACCTCTTTCTGCGAGGGCGTCGGCGGCAGCGGCCGCTACGACCGCGGCCAGCGGATCGACTCGAAGCCCTGGTGCGACCTGCGCCAGCAATCGAAGCGGCCCGTCTTCATCTCCGCCGAGCAGGCCTGTATGGTCCATCACGACGCCTGGCAGGGCGGCGGCTCGCTCCGCATCAACACCAGCTCCACGCTCCGCTGGCGCAGCTTCACCGTCTTCAAGCTGGCCGTCCCAGTAGACCTCCGCCACCGCTACCACTACCAGCTGATCTACAAGAACTCCCACCCCGGCGAGGTGATGGTCACCACGGGGCTGAGCATCGAGGAGGAGGTGGCCGGCAGCGGGCCGGAGAGCGGCTCCTGGATCTACATTCTCGACCTCGACCCGGCGGACCTCGAGGTGCCCGCCGTCTACTCCTCGCTCATTCGCTCCGTCACCTACCACCAGCGAGCGCTCGACAATGGCTGGCTCGCCGATGACTTCCTCATTGAGCTGAATGAGGACAAAGTGGATACCAGTGGAAAGCCTCTTCCTCCGCCAAAGAACGATGAAGCCTCAAGAACTTCGAAAAAGGTGCTCGAGAATGTGCTGATCACTAATGTGCGCATCTCGTTGCGGCGCACCGATCGCGCCACGATGAGCTCCGCTGAGCTGCTGAAGGCGCCCGGCTTTGAGGTGCTCCTGGGCGCCATTACCCTCGAGTGAAAGGATCATGGATCTCGAGGACTTCTGCTTGAGCACCCTGCATCACGAGGTGATGAGAAAAAAATTGTGTTGAAAATGAAAATGACTTTATCGACTGCTGTACTTTATCCCCTTTAGTACTCTTAAAAGTACTTTTTTAAATAAAAATGTGACTTTTTATTGGTAAAGTGAGCCTGAATTACCTGGACCACAAGTTGCTGAACATCAGGGCCGCCAAACGGTCAAATGTAGTGGTCAAAAGAGGCTCGGTTTGACCTCGTATCACTTTTTTGGTTTTGTCCTGAAAATGTAAAAGTAGCTTCGGAATTCTCTAATTTTCCTTAAAAGTACTCTAAAAGAACTATTTAGGATGCATTTGAAGTAATTAGGAAGTGTTGCAATCAGGAAAAGGTGCAAACTTTCTCTTGCCAAGCAGAACAAGTCACTCTTCTATGACCGTCACCTGCCCTGGTGAGCAGTCGCCGAGCTGGCGTTTTCTCCAAAACCTCTTAAGCAGAAAATTGCCCCGTTCGACCCTTTTCTGAC